GGGCTGAGGGCGCTGTCCCGCCGTTGCAGAGGCGCGAGTGAAGCTGATGGCGCGGTTCTCGCCCGAGTGCGCCGTGGTGCTGCTGGAGCACCTGGACACGCCGGTGACGCGGTTCCTGCTCAGCCACCCGCTGCTGTCGCAGATCTTCGAGCCCCAGGTGAGGCCGGCGATGCCGCGAGTCCCCCCGAGCGTCCGGCGGCACAGCGACGAGGCCTCGCGCCCGCCTCGCTAAGTGTTTTGGCCCCTTTCCTAGAAAAAGGAGGAATCCAGCTTCATGCCGGAAGATGCGGTTCTGGCATCTGTTGGCATCGTGAAATGCGGCCCAGACCGCGGGCTGCTGGTGTCGGAGAGCATGTGCCTGGCTCTGGAGGAGCTGATCCAAGCATGCTGTGGTGAGTGGCATGGGCTTGGTGAGGTTGGGACTTCAGTACCTTGAAGAATTTAAATTTCATGAGGCTCTTCATGAGTTAAAGTCAGGAAGAGTGTGCCCTGTGACCGGCACTGGTTGAGAGTGGGGTGGTTCTCGTAAGTAGTGGGAGTCCTGAGCTCATGCATCACTTTGTGTGGGTTTATGCCTCTCCTGACAGACAGGCAGCTCACTGCTGTAAAGGCATTTCCCGATGTGGGGTCAGAACGCTTGATTTTGTTCTTTTTTTTTGTAGCAAGTACGAAAAACAGTCCCCTTTCTGATCCAGGAACATCTAAAATAGTATGGGCCATTAGAGCTCATGCACACTGGGTTATAGCGCTAGGGATTGCTTCTCGGGAGCCTTCTCCCTTTATGTTGGTATGCTTAACATGCTTCTCTTTAACGAATTTTGTTCCATTTAGTTAAAATGCATCCTCCACAGACCACAAAGTCTGTAGAGTTTGGGGTTTGTTGCGGTTTTTCTAACGACTTTATGTAAACTGATCAGAGAATCTGACGCTATTGGTCTGTTTCAGTGCATGTATGTTTTTCCAGCTGAAGATGAAGGTGTCCCGGTGATGCTGGTGTGTGGCCCCAAAAACACTGGGAAATCCACATTTAACAGATACCTAATTAATCTGTTACTGAATCGGTGAGTCTTATGTTCTACAAGTTTTTGAGCGCTAGGTGGGATTTAGTAAGAGGAAAAAAAATGCCTGCCAAGATTTTCAGAAAAGCTGTTGGGAATGGAACCTGGTTGTTTTAGAAGCAAACAAACAAAAACTCAGAAACATAGGCTGTCTTGTCTGGGGTTCTTTTCTGAAAAGCTGACTACTGAAGCATCTCTGGTGAAACACTACTAGATCAGTGTCTTGGAGTATGTGAACTAATTGGGCACTGAGCAGTTAGGGTTTAATAAGGAAGTGGGAGTTCTTAAAGTTCTTTAAGTGCTTAAAAATATGCAGGTAGTTATAATTTGTTAATGTCTTTGAAGGTTGTTGGCAGAGCAACATGTAGAAGCTTATTCTTCTGAACATTGCATGCTTAAAATAAAGATCATAATGTTTATAACTTTTAAATGGCTGGTCTCAAGGTGCCCAGGTAATGGAGAGGTGATACACTGATGAGCACTACCTCCGAGTATTGTTCTAGCTGGTTGTGTATGGAGCTATTGAAATAGGACACTGAGCTGAGGGGAGCCTTTTACATTCTTGCTTAATGCCCCCTCAAGTAAGGGAAGGAGAGAGACAAGTGGTGGTTTGACTGTATTCAAGAATGTAATTTTGATGACCTGGAACAAAATTAGATTGTGCTTCTGGTGTATTCCAGATCATGCCCTGTTTCTTTTTTTAATTAACACTAATATTTGGGCTTCTTTCCCTGCAGCCTTCCCTCAGTTGAATATATGGAATGTGACATAGGTCAAACCGAATTTACACCACCTGGATGCGTGTCTTTAAGTAACATAACAGAGCCAGTTCTTGGTACGTGTTTTGCCGTTTTCTGCAGATGCCAGAAACCTGTTTGGTTTCCCGAAGGTGCTTTCTGGGTAGAGGCTGTACTGAGGGGAAGTCGCCAGCTCTGTCAAAGGTGCATATAGGAAATAAACAAAGGCTGTTAGAGTTTTGCTGGGGGCGTCTAAGCGCTACGTGAAAGTCTCGCTGAGTAACATGGAGCTGTTCTTTCTGCTTGTTTTTCCTGTTTCAGAGAGAGAAGGGAGTTCTCTAGGAGGTGGTAGAACAGGCTGTGGTGCGTCCCAGTGGATTTTCAGCCTTTCAGATTTGAAATGTCTTTTTGGGAAAATCTTAACCAATTTCTAGCATCTGCAGATGAAAGTAGCTTGAGAAATACGAAGTGGATGGACGCAGTTTGGGGGCTGTGGTTACGGGCATAAAAAAACCCTAGAGCTGCAGAAGGCGCTGGTATTGGTAACCTTGCAGGTGTGGGTCACTGTCTAAAAAGGATATGGCCAGACTGGTTTAGTTTTCATATAGTGTGTCATAGAAGAGCGTTGTTTTAGAGTTCACAAGTACGTAACCAATGATTTAGAACAAACAAGAAAAAAACCCAGATGAACAAAGCACCTAATCTGGAGTCGCACCAGTGAGGGAAGTTTCTCTGTGGGTGCAGGCTGTGCAAGAAGGACTGTTGTCATGTGTGGCGAGGATGGATCGTTTCCGAGGGCACTGTCTGTAGGTGCCACAGGATTAACAGGTTTTTGATTTGACCTACTGAAAGCACTAGAGGTTTGCTGCTTGCTTTTCCAGGTCCACCATTCACTCATCAGCAAACACCACGTAAGATGGTGTATTATGGACAGACTAGTTGTGAGCAGGACACGGAAAGATACCTCGATGTAGTGAAGTATGTGTTCAGCTCCTACAAGAAGGAAGTGCCTTTAGTCATCAACACCATGGGCTGGGTGAAAGGTAAGAGGGTCCAGTCGGTTCTCAAGAGATGATGCAGAAGGAAGGTGAGGTCTGGATCCAGAAAATACAGCTTGCCCTCTTTGGCAGCGCTCCGACCTGTTCCTGTAGCAGCAGCAATCATGTCTTCTCTGTTTCCTAAAGGTGAGGGGCTGCTGCTCCTGATTGACATCATCCGGCTGTTGTCCCCCAGTCACATCGTTCAGATGGACCTGTGCGACTGGAAGGCCATGGCCCTGCTCACCCCCGAGTACGTTCACCTCACTCCTGGCCTCTACACCAAGGGCAAGCAACAGGCCAAGCGCAAGCGGATGCGCGTGGCTGGTGCAGAGCACTGGAGCCTCCCTGAGGGGGAGGGAGATGCCTCTACTCCTGAGTATAAGTTACTGTACGTCCACCCGGAATTCCCTCGAGCAGGGGTTGCAGGCAAAGCGTAAGTAGAACATTCAGCACTACCTTGGAGTTAGTGTGTGTAACAAAACCACATAGTCTTGGTGGTGAAGGCTCTCGCTTTGCTTTGGCCCCGAGAGATCCACTAAGTCTGTCAGAGCTCCTTAGCTTACTTACTAGGGGGTTATGTTTGAGTGCTCTTTGTCTGGGGAGTTCTGGGTGCTTTGTTTCAGGGGGTGGTGCTTGAGGGGAGGTTTGTGTAGGGTGGTTTCTTAGGTTGGAGGGAAGGAGGTAGTTCCTCCCTACTCAAAGTGACTAATGTCAGTTATTTTTACACTTCTGTCTGGAGCCACTGAATATTGTTGTTTTGTCTAATTGGGAGCTTCCCTACCCATTTCTTCCAGACCTAGACAATGATTATGTTACTTCTTAATTTCTCTGGTACTTTGAGCATCTCTGAAATATTGATTTTTCTTGGACCATGGGTCTGTCTTGTTAATTTTAAGGTGGGTTTTTTTGTGGGGGGTGTGGGGTTTTTTTTGGTTTTGTTTGTGGTTTTTTTTTTACTCAGCCCTCACTAGCGACCTGTTTAAGAAAACAGATGTATTATTAGTCTCACAACTGATGGCAAGGTGTATGGACATTAGGGTTGAAGAAGGGACCCATGATCCAAGAATAGACTTTGTTTAAAAAGCCACAACCCCCCAACAACAACAACAACAAAAAATCAAAACCAAAACACACCACCTTTGTTAATTAATGCCATTTTAAAGTTGAAGTAGTGCCCCAAGTCCTGTGATCCCTTAGAGGTGATGAGCACAGGGCTGTGGCTCTAGCCCGGCGTGCCGGGCGGGGGTCGCCGCAGGGGGGCGTGCTGCCCCTCTGCACTCCCGGCGGGTCTTTTCCAGGCGAGTGCACAGCAGCATCCTGCGTGACATGTCCATTCTGGGCTACCTGGGACAGCTGCAGTCCCCCGACATCGGGGCAGTGCTTCCGCTGCACAGTCTTGTGCCGTATCAGGTAAGGGAGCGTTGTGGGAGGGCTGGAGGCGCTGCAGGGCGCGTGGCCGTCGACAGCGGTGCCCGTACTGCAGGCCTGGCGGTAGAGGCGAAAGCGCTCTGTCGTCTGCAGAGCTTTACTCACTGCCTGGGGCCGAGGGTTTTGTTGGGCTGTCAGTGTGGCACGTGCTTCTGTGTGCAGTTAGTGTTGATACTGTTATTTGCCACCGAGACCATGTCTGTGTGTAGGGGTGGGTGCAGAGCAGCTTTTGGGTTTTGTATACTCGGCATTGTCTTGTCTCTGAACTCGGAATAAACTGATGTTGAACCAATGAACAGCTTGTTCTTTTTTCTACCCTTGCAGGTACCTTTCAATGCTGTTGCACTCAGGGTTATCCACACTGATGTTGCTCCCACCAACATCATGTATGCAGTGAACGCCAGCTGGGTCGGGCTGTGCAGGATACCAGATGAAATTAGATGCCAGAGCGAGGGGCCGGTCTTGCTGACACAGACACCGGTCTGTGATTGCCTCGGCTTTGGTGAGCGAGCCCAGGAGCCTTGAGCTGTGTTCTCACCTGTCTGGTTCTGACAGATTGGTTGCAGAGTGACGGAATCACCTGCTCTCTCACAAACAGCTGGAAGAGTGGGGTGGGGTGAAAGAATAATCGTGTCTTCCGTTACTAACTGTGCTTCAGGTCCTTTGATTTTCCTTATCTTTTGGTCACAGCTGTGGGGAATGTCTCTGAGCGGTGCTTTTTGTAGCTTCTCTAACCTATTTGTAACCTAACAGTTTACTTGTTTCCCATATTCACTCTTAAAAAAGCGGACTCCATGTGGCTTACACAAAATTCCTTTGGTTGTCTGTTGGTTTCCTTCTACAACTCAATTGAATATTGCAGTTCTGACTTGGAGTTTGATACTGAGCTTCTTAAGTTCCTTTAGGAACGTGCCAGTGAAGAGGGATACAGGGTTTCTGAAGCTAACTAAGATAGTGGAGGAGCTGCATGCAGCAGTGCAGGTTCTCCTCAAGTTGACTTAAATCCTTCTCTCAGTTTAGAAGAGCCATTTATTCAAAGAGCTTCAGCTGCATCTGGTGACACAGTCTGAAATGATCAGGTGGAGTGAAGACTGAACTTCACGTATATTTTTTCAGGAATTGTCCGAGGGGTTGACATAGATAAGAAGCTTTACCACGTCCTGACGCCAGTGCCTCCAGAGAACCTGAGACTAGTGAATTGTCTGCTCCTTGGAAATATTGCAATCCCAAACTGTGTTCTTGTGGGCCAGGTAGGAGTGGTGCAGGAAGTGGGAAGCTGGCTGAGCTTTGGGTGCTTGGCAGGTTTTCAGATTCCTTATTTCTGAGGTTTGTGCATGCTCAGAGGTGTCTGGGCATTAGCAGATGTTATCTCCCTTGGAAGTCATACTTAACAC